TACTTCTGAGTACCTTGTCACCGCTCCATTACCGCATACCTGCCAAAGGCTTTCTTCCTCGTCAATACCATCTCTGCAATCAACATCCCGTCTTTAACCCATGACATGGGGAATTGAATCGGTAGAGCGTTTTTTGATATTGTCCTTATGCAACTTCTATTGGACATTACTGAGCAGAAACGATCGCTTTCGTCGCCCCCTTGAGGACAGTCGGAATATTTATTGCACAGTAAACTTTTATGGAGAACACAGCCGTTTTCTGCTTCTACGCATTGGTTTTGGTAATCATCATCGCACAAATCAAAGCCCATGCAAAGGGTAAAGATCGACAAGTTTGTCGGGAAACCATTCATTTTACAAGTAAAAGCTACCCTGCCAGAATCTGTGCAGTTGATTTGATCGAGTCCATCTTTACACGTGTAAGCAAAGAGTCCCAGTCTTGGAACTGCACATATTTGGTGAGAGTATATCGGTCTTATGTTGTTCGGGAAGAAGTTGTAGTGTTTTGGTCCGTGAACATCTCCCGGGGTGCAGTATCTGATGATCTTCTCCTCCTCACATTCCTGCTCATCCTCACCATTGTAGCAGTGTGACATACCATCACACATGTACATTGCATGGACGTGTTCTCCAATTGATGAGTTACAGGACTTAATCCCGTACGTTTGATTGCTACAAAACGCTTCATCGTTGCAGCGATAACAATCACATTTCAAGTCACAAGTTTGGTCCTTTCGTATCAAGGAATCTGTTTCTCCTTTGCAAATGTAACTATCATTCACCGACGGGCTGTTCTCCTCGTCAATCCTTGTATTTGAACACGTTTCCACTCCATTTACGTCAGCATATCGATTGTTTACCAATCCTGACAAGGTCTTTCCTCCAAATGATATCGTTCCCTGACCAGTGGTCGTGAAACTGTGGTTGTAATCTTTATGTTCACAGATGTATGACTGACAGAAAAGGTTTCTACCGTGATCACCTCCAAAATTTGTATGACAAGCAGAGCTGATGTGACCGCAGACTTGGTAAAATTGTGGGTCATCGCTGCAAGCTTTGTCGTACTTTAAAGTACAGTTTGGGGACCATTTGTTCCACTTTGGGTTATCTCTGTAGAGTTCAACAGAGTACAGTTCATCAGTCACAGGACATTTGAAGCGACTTCCACATTGTTCTTTGAGGTATTTCTTTTTATCTCCCACTTCTACGATCGTACATTCCTCAGAAAAACAGTGGTGGAATGTAATCACTAAACAGACTATCACAGCGTATCTCATGTCTTCTTCCACATAATATTCGATATATTATATCCGTTGACTATAAATTTAGGGAAGGAGTGAGTAGATAGAAATTATGTTTCATAAACATACTCAAATATTAAAACTGTTAGGATACCAATGTTCCAGCAGCTGTTGATATATAAATATAAATAATTATATAACCGACAAATAGGAAGTTGCATGGTGCGTTACGCGCACGTGCACATATTATGTTTTGTGGTTTTTACTTTGTGTTCAGTATGACGTGTCGAATAGTCCTATATTAAACTTGATACATAAACTTGATACATACACTTGATTAACAGGACTTTATCTTGAATTTCAATAACCTCATTTGCCCAAGAAGTAGAACGATTGCAATCATTTTGTTGTCTTAATTGAACATCTATTAGCTAGAGCTATCTCTACAAACGTTTCACAAATATACCACATTATAAAGCACTGTATCCTAGCAACAACTACATGACGGTACGTGACGAACAAAATTATCATAATATTAATAAGAAAAAACAAACGGATCAAATAATATAATTTATCCGTGGAATTATTACTTATTGTTAGTATGCATACTCTCTACATGGGATAAGCTTATGAATCGAATAAAAGGGTTGACATAAACATGATGAGAAGTGAGAACTGAGAGGTACATGTTTGACTCTGTGACATGAAAGAGAGAGCTAACCACCAAATGAGTGAGTTGCGTGGTGCCATGGATCAAAACAGCTTTCTAGGCAAACCTTTTGTTTTTACATTTGCAATCTCTCAAAGCAACAGTTTAGACACTAAGAGGTGATATAAGCGGTTGCAGTATTACGGTAATACTGGCACTAATACTGCAGTCTGCACTCTGGAATGTATTACCATAATTTGTGTACTAGATAATGTAGCTCAGCCCACATGATAGCATGTAAATTTCCAGCTGTAGGTGATGCAGTATATTCATGATGTGATGATGTGATGCAATATTCAGGTGTAGACTGATGCAGATGGATGTGAATTTTTGCTTTTGAGAGTTTCTTTTACTATAAGTTGGACTGAATTTTTGGGTGACCGACAACTGAACCCAATTGAACCTAGTTCCCACGCTGTTAACAGGTACCCAATCAGCTTAATTTGGTGACCAATTAGCTTAAATCCCAAAACGACAACTGAACCCAGGTCATATCACAACTGCACTGAAATCGGAAATACGACAACTGAACCCAACGATCAGATTTTCAGGTTCTCCTTCTTTGCAGGGGACTGTGGTCATTATCACTATAGGATAGGTCATGACCACTGTAATTTAGAGCATTGGAGCCCTGTGCTTAGTGCTTACCCCGGTAAAATATTAATAAGCGGAGAAAAACGTTAAACTTCGTTTTCTCCGCATTTGGTGAATCGTTTTGTTGCTTGTATGAAGGCGATAATCGATAATCCTTGGTAGTGAGAACTTATCCACTATGTCTGTCACACTAAGGGGTCGTTCACATATTACGTAATCAGCTGGAGGGGGGGGGGGGGGTTCCGAATGATTACGCTAGTGTAATTTTGACACAATGTGTAAAACTTATTAGGGAGGGGGAGGTGAAAATGTTCCAAAAAATGATTACGTAATATGTGAACGACCCCTAAGGTAGAAGAAGTCGAAGTATCCTCCTCGTTGGTAAGACCACTTCGGGCACTACCCAATAAAGTAGTTCAAGTTACTTTGCTCAGATTACTTGGCTCAGATCTCGATGTTTGGCCTGAATATTTGTTGGATTTTGTTTTTTAATTTTTAATAAAATGGTTCCTGCCGCCAGCCGCAAGCTATAAACTAACAAAAACTGTTTAGCCACCAAGACCACAAGGGCATACTATGACCATTGCTTCTCTAATCCTGCATACAGATCACTTTTCAACAGGATATTCGGTACTACAATACCATTAGTTGAGGTAAGCCCACTCACTAAAAAAGGGTAAGATTCCCAGTTGACTTGGCCATGTTATGAGGCTGGGTGAATGGGGCGAAGATGTTGCAGGTCTTTGCATGGGGTCAATATTACCAAACTGTCAAAATGTCATTAGTGAACTAGTAGCTCACTACTCAAAAAGACAAGTAAACTGTGTCATTGCAGCTGTCCCAATACCATTAGCGAACTAGTAGCTCACTGCTTACTTGCCCAGTAAAGGAAGAAGTCAAAGTATCCTCCTCGTTGGTATTTGGTAAGACCACTTCGGGCACTAGCCAATAAAGTGGTTCAGGCTATGTTACTTTGCTCAGATTACTTGGCTCAGATCTCGTGTATTCTAATGCTTTGGGAGGGCCTGCCATGGTTCAGATCTCGAGTCTTGGGTCGGATCTCGATGCTTGAGGAGCAGTGGATCGTATCCTTTTTGGCACACTTCGTGTACATGTAAGCTTGTTAGATCAGATCGAAAGGCACCTGATACCTTGTCATCTTTTTTTTAACCACCAAGACCACAAGGGCATACTATGACCATTGCTTCTCCAATCCTGCATACAGATCACTTTTCAACAGATATTCGCTACTACAATACCATTAGTTGAGGTAAGCCCACTCACTAAAAAAGGGTAAGATCCCCAGTTGACTTGGCCATGTTATGAGGCTGGGTGAATGGGGCGAAGATGTTGCAGGTCTTTGCATGGGGTCAATATTACCAAACTGTCAAAATATCATTACTGAACTAGTAGCTCACTACTCAAAAAGACAAGTAAACTGTGTCATTGCAGCTGTCCCAATACCATTAGCGAACTAGTAGCTCACTGCTTACTTGCCCAGTAAAGGAAGAAGTCAAAGTATCCTCCTCGTTGGTAAGACCACTTCGGGCACTAGCCAATAAAGTGGTTAAGGCTAGGTTACTTTGCTCAGATTACTTGGCTCAGATCTCGTGTATTCTAATGCTTTGGGAGGGCCTGCCATGGTTCAGTCTTCGGTAGGATCTTGATGCTTGAGGAGCAGTGGATCGTATCCTTTTTGGCACGCTCCGTGAACATGTAAGCTTGTTAGATCAGATCTCGCGATCGAAAGGCACCTGAGCTGAGACCTTGTCATCTTTTTTTTTAAATCTACACACTTATTTTACTTCGGAGTATTCCAACAGCCACATTGTTACACACGTGTAACCAGCCAATTACAGGAAGCCGAAGGATTTAGTTGGCCAGTGACGGTTAAGGTAGTGTGCACAATACTTTCTTTGCTGTTTATCTGTTAGTTATTTATAACTGACAATTGGGTTCAGTTTTCGTTTCAAAGTTAATTAGGTAGACTGATTGGGTTTAAGATTATTTTCCCAAGCTACCCTGTCTAGAAAAAGTCCAAATTGGGTTCAGTTGTCCGGTAGCCGAATTTTTTGTTCCAATGTCAAGAAACACTGAACAGAACCCGACCATAACTTTCAGAATTCAAAAATAGTTTGCGTTGCGAGAAAGACAGATCTTTGATTTCCAATCCACATCAAATGAGATTGTTTTGCATTATGAATTCCGTTCCGGTACAACAAATTTGTTAAACTTTTAGATGGGATTATTTGTTAATACAGAGACAGGAGGAGGACACTAAAGAATCAGCGAATTCTCAGAAAAGCCAGAATTTTGTGGGGACGGGAATTGTAATATCCGCTAAACACAATAACACAATAACACAATAACACAATAACACAATAACACAATAACACAATAACACAATAACACAATAACACATAACTGTTCTCGGACTAAATAGTTTTTAAACAAACCTTGTTTTTGAGCTGGACCTCCTCCCCCTGCGTTACCTCCAGCTCCACCTCTAACACACTGAACACCTACAAAACAATCGTGTTGACATTCCCTAAACAACAACATCTGTATAAATAAATTTTTCAGGTTTGTTAAGGTGTATCAACTCAAAATCAGCGTTAAAATACCAAAATTAAAATTAAATCTCCAGACCTCCTTCCCGAGAACGTCTAACAGATCCAGCAACCTTTCCCCCAGTTCTCTAGCTAGGTGAGACAGTGCAATACCACATCCCCTCCTCGTAGTCTCTTGTATGTTGGTCGTCTGATCTTGTTCCGGTACAGGATCTTTCTTGGATCCCCTTCCTTTACCTGAAGTGCCCAAAGTTTATTGGAACAAATTGTAATAAATTCCTTGATTTGCCGCGGAGTTTACGAAAAAGGAAAAAGCTTCGGAATATCAGGGTTTGCAGTAAAAGATAAATCGGGGTTTCAATTGTTTACATTATGTATGTTCAGCCCTATTTGGGGGAAGGAAATGGCCGCGGTAAATCGGGGTTTTACGGTAAATCCCTCTGCCTCGCTAGGCTGTAGGTTAAATAATGTTTTAACCGAACCTCGTCAGATCTGTTGTACAGAGCATGGACATTGGCGGACGGTTACAGATTTCAGTGTATCCCATTACTATTAACCTAGTTTCAATTATTTGGCTTCAGCTTTTTTCACATTGAAGATAGCCAGAATAATAAAACTCCGATGCTTACTATAATGAAGCTTTCCTGAAGTAAAGGATTGCATTAAAAATCTCCAAATTGAATCAACGCGACCCAACAATTTGATCCAGAACTTTCAGTCCACCTGGGTAAAGCCAAAACCGAAAGATTTCACCATTACATAAGAGGTACCATTTAGATAAGGGTGAGGTGGCACACTAACAGTATGATCATATTTCATTACATAACACCTGGTTCAGTATGCCCATATTGCCACTTGGAGCTAGAAATTATCACCGTTCTTATTACTTTGTTATGGTTCCAAATTATCTTTGGAAACTTCTCCATTTTCTGTTGTAGTTTGAGGCTTGAAGATGAATAATAGTACATATCTGTCAACTACTTCTCCGATAACTACTTCGCCGATATCATATTATCATGATATTTATGTTAAAACAAGTATTAACTACACGGGTCTTGCAGGAGTTGTGTTTATTTTTCTACTGATCATTACAATTGTGACCATTGCAATCGTGATCATCAAAAAGTCGATATGTCGACGAAATGCCAGAGCGCCTGCCCAAATCCCAGTACCTCAGCAAATAACTGTTACCGTCATCGCCCGTCCCGCTCCTGGAGGACCCTCAGTTGGATACATTCCTTCCTCTCAAACTACACTACAATATCCTGTAACCAGTACCCTGCCTCCACCCCCCTACACGTGCATCCCACACAGCTCACTGCTAGCTACTCAGCCACCAAGTTATCAGGATGTGATCCAAGGTTCTTATAAATACTTGTAGATAAAAGCGGAGGTTTGCAATGTGTTCCCGCCATGTTCCCGCCATGTTCCCGCCATGTTCCCGCCATGCTGGGTACAAAGAAACTACTGTGGAACAATTTAACAGTTTTCAAATAATTGCTTGAAATTTAGTTAGGAACAGTCTTAGACATAGCTAAACTACAAAATAATACAATTACGTTTCTTTCAACTTTTATTCAAAAATTTAAAAACTCATTCAACCTTTAAGTTCCAATTTATCGAGAAAAATAAATTTGACAATTTTTATTTTAGAAAAAAAATATATCCTACAAAATGTTCATGTGTATTACTTATTTATTATTTCCAAGTAATTATTTTCAACTATAGCCTTAACAAAAGTAATTTTATTTCTTGGTTTTTACCCTGTATATTGTGAGTCGTAATTTATAACTCCAAAAAAGAAAAAATCAGGAAATCACAAAGTCAAATGGATTAGACACAACCACTAATCTATTAATAACTATTTCATCAACCTAAGCTATGTAATGGCGACTTTGTTCTCCGTCGAATAGAAATGATACAAATGGAATACAATCGGTATATCAATTAAATCCGATAATATAACTCTTAATTGTAAAAGGTTCGGTGGTGTATGGTTATCTCATCAGGTTGGTTTAAAAGTAACTATCATAACCGTTGTCTCTTAACAACTTACAACCAAAGTCGCCATTTGCATCGCAACAAGGCTAACTCACAACTAATGACGACCGTTTACTGCAGAGGCAACATATTCGTGCGGTGGGTGCGGAACCGCACTTTTGACCGAATACCGCACTTTATCGCACCATCGGCCGTTATTCGTTCTAACATACTTGAGTACATGGTACTGCTATGTACGATGAGATAAGATCGACATTCGACATGGCCATATAATAACTATGGTTAGGGTCATGACTTAACATCAAAAACATTGGAAAGAAATTCTTACTTTAAAAAATCAGGAAGCACATTATATACGCTAATTATCTAACTGCATATGCCGTATAATGCGATTAATTAATGATATAGAATAATTTTTCCTCCAAAAAATATTCGCAGATAGTTCATTATTAATAATCAGATGGCAAGTTCATGATGCAGCGACTTTTAATACTATCGATAATTGATAAAGAACAAAAGAAGGTCTTTGATCGTAATCCCTCAACAGATTGAAATGGAGTCACTTTATTCACGATTAGATGTATTATAGATGTGGATACTGGTGGGGAGGTGAAACACATTTGTTTACTTTAATAGTAAGCACATGTTCAGCGGGTTGAGGAGGTGAAACACATTTGTTTACATTTTTAGGGTAAGCACATGTTCAGCGGGTTGAAGAGATGATACACATTTTGTATTATAGAAGGCTTGTAACACTTGTAACGCTTTCTTGTTACCCCCCTTTGAAGGCCCCGGATTATTTTCTGAACGAAAGCTCAAAAATAACCGAGAAATCGACCTTCTTATTAACTCATTTTGATGACTGTTTCTGACCTAAAATTGCACGAAAAATCGATTTAGCTAGGTTTCAGAACCTATAAACACTTCCTTATCCCTCAAAATTGATGTTTTAAAGTTGATACGAGCAACAAGCAACATATGTTTTGATCCTTCGGTTCTACTCATGCCCTAGGCAGTTAAGCTGAACCCGACAGATCGAGGCAATCCTCACCTTAACTGATCAAACTGGTACTAACACAATTTTCAGATATAAATGTTCTTTGCGATACGTTTATTGCAGCTTTGCAACTTGAGGGAAGACCAGAGTACGAAAACACACAGCAGGTAAGCAACTCACTTTTGGTGACTGTTCCTCACGAACATTCTGATCCTGCAACAATTTAGTATACGGTAGCTTAGAAGTGAAACCCACTTATTGTAGTACCAACTATGGTCATACGAGACTAAGGAATAATATACATAAATAAGTTACATAATAAATTACCATATATAACAAACATATGAACAGGGAGATCGTCTCCTTAACAAATCGAACAGGTACTATCACAACTTCCAGAGCAGGTACTATCACAATTTCCAGAGCGTAATTTTCACAATTTCCAGAGCATAACAAAGTCAAAAGAAACACAACGAAGGTAGGTTACCAACACCACAATATAACAATTATACTAACAACTGAATTAAATTTATTCTGACGACGGGCAGCCCTGATGTGCTCCGTCATCCTCAACGAGCGACCACTTGTAATAGAGGTGTTCTGTCATGTGACACCGATCCGTCCAATCACAAACAGGACGAGTCAGCAGATCGATATCGTGTGTTTACTTTCCTTATCTTTATTTGACCCTCTGTTCACATTGTTATCTCTACCACATCTCGGCTCGGCAAGGTCCACGTGCAATATCTGCACCGCGGTAATCACGCCATGATTACGTCATGAACTTGAAACGGTGTGATTGTTGTACTTATATAACCGTGCCCATTGCCCACGTACAATACAAACTGTTAGGGGGGGGGGGGGGGGTAGACTAAGATAAACAACCGATCTTGATAGTGTGTTGGTCGCTCCTCCAACTGACTGTGATGCTAACTGTTCAATCAGGAACGGAACAATAACATTGTTTAGTTATAGCATGTTTCGGTTTAGTTGTCCAATTGCGTATTATAGTCGGATCCCAACCGTTCTAAAAGGCTATCTCGTTAGCTTTTCGTGTTAAAAGCGATTTCTCAACGGTTATCACCTCTCTAGATGATTCTTAAAACATTTGGACTTCATTGCATTTTTGAAATAAATGCGATGAGGGCGTTTTCGGCCACACCCTTTTTCAGGGTTTCGCGGTCACTCGAATTTTTGTATATCAGCTCAGGAAGGTCTAAAAGACTATTCCGATACACCAAAATGTGCCTAATAGCCACATTTATATACAACTTATGAAGCAACATATACCTTAAAATGCTTCTTTTCGGAAATATGGCCGAAAAACGGTTTTTGGCTTGAAGCAGTTCATATTTTCCGTGATTTTTGGCATTTTCGCCTAGGAAGGTCGCAGAGACTATTCTGATACACTAAAATGTACATAATGGCCACATTTATATACAACTTATGAAGCAACATATACCCTAAAAGGCTTACTTTCGGAAATGTGGCTGAAAAACGAATTTTTGCCGAGCGAACAAGACAGTATTCACAAATGGGCTATTGGACTGTTAACTAAAAAGGTCTTAAAGAAGATTCATGAGGAACATAGCATTTGTCACAAGATGTAAGATGACTCACTTTGTGTCCAGAAACACCTACAAAAATTGGAGAATGATCTACTTTATTGGGCATCTCTCTTAATGCTTTAATGGGCCAGGACAGCAGCATATTTGTGTCTTACGAAAGAGCAATTTTTCAAAATTACGGTTTCTTAAGGTCAAAGGATCGGCTGCTAACAGCAAATTGTTCGCAATTGCCGACTCATGTACATCATATACTCAAAAACGCTCACTTAAGGAGTCATTAGTAAATAACTACTACATGATTTGTGACAACCCGACCCCAACAATTTTTCCTTGGCACCAATTTAAATAAAACGTGTTTTTTTTTTATTTGAAAATTCAATTAATCATTATATATATAAATCAAGCGTTACATTTAAGCCATGCAAAATTACAATGACATATTTTGATATACAAATTGATGAATGGTACTGCAATATAAGTTGCTTAATGTTTGGCCGGATGACAACTAACGAGAAAAATAAACTTGATTAAACATAATAATTAATTCGGCTGAACCAACACATAGCTAGAGCCACATTAACGTTGTTGACCAAAATTCAATTTCAACCTTTTTATTTATATTCATGCCATGAAACCATGATATATGTACCAAGAATACCGCACCTAAAATA